TGGGAAACTAAAATTTGGAAAAACTAACCAGGACATTGATTGTCAAAAAAAGATTGAATGTTTAAACAACTAAGATATGCATAAACAAAAATTATTGATAAATGTAAGAAAGCTATTTTTATTTAAGCGATATAATAAGAATTGTATTAAGTTACAGTAAATATGAGACAGTAAATACCAAGGGGAAAGGAGAGGAATTATTTAATGTAATAGTTTGACAACTGTACTAAAGATATTTGTATGTTATTGAATTATTGACCAACTCAGCTGCCACGTCGCTTTTCAAATATTTAAATGTAAAATTAGAAAATTAATAAAAAATGTTAAAAAAAAGAGAAAATTTTAAAAATACATATTGTATTTGCCAAAAGATTTGAAGCCAAAGTAGTCAATGGTAAGCAGTCTTTTTCATTCTCTTTTCTGAGCCATGGGTCTCATTCCTCTCTCCCTGCTGGTTGTTTGAATTAAATAATCTGTTCCAAAAGATATTCAGTGGTTGCATAACAACAGTCTGTAGCAACAATAGTTGATTGGCTAGTATCCAATCAATTACAGTATATACAAGAGGTACAAGGTGTACTTCCTTCTTACAATAAGAGAAACAAAAATGGTGCAGGCAGGATGGAGGCCATGACCAATACACTTCAGGCATTGTGCAAGATATACAAAAGTAATCAAAGTTCACTTCCTATAAAATCTGAAACCTGAACCTATCAATGGCCAAGATAATTGCTCCTGTGCAAAATTAGAATCAAGAAATATTACTATCTAATCTAAGAACTGGAATGTCCCCTTATCTGCAAAAAAAAAAAAAAAAAAAGGATTTGCATATTAATAGTCAGAAGGGGAACCTTCTGAGGAAGGGGGGAAAATCAGACTTTCAGAACTTATTTAAATACAAACTAGAATAGAAGAACAACAGAAGAAGCCCATGTTATGAATATTTCCCAACAATACAGTTGGATGATAAAAGCAACATGTGTAATAATTGTATCAATTATTTCACTGTCTTTTTACTTAGTTCCTGGAATCTTGGACCATCTTTATGACCTGCTGTCTATGCTTTTTTAGTTTTTATTTATACTCTGTCATAAGATTATAAATCTTTGATTTACTAGGACTGTTCAAAATTATGACAGACTCTAAGAAAGGTACTTGCAACCCGGGTTTAAAGTTCTGATGGCTACCCTCCCTCCCCACAGTCAGTGATTACATTTTGGGCACTTGATAACCAGTTCACATTTTATGGCCGTTTACAGAATGCTGCATTCAGGTAACTGCAATTTATGACTACTATGTCGGAAACAAGAGTTTACTTCCAGTTTTCAACAAAAAATGCCCATTGCAGAAAACTGATTCACTTAAAGACTTAATCATTCACTTAATAGTGATTCACTAAAGGACCACCACAAAAAATCTTGCAAAATTAGATCACTCACGTGATGGCCTGCTTAATGACTGGCATGACTTACAACACAATTCCTGGGTCAATTACAGGACTACCTGTATAGACTTTTTTCTGCTGTCTTTTCTTAGTGGCTATGTTTATAAACACTGTTTATCAAAATTGCATTTTCTTGTTTTTTGATCATTGATTCTTCTCCTGATCAAGATGCTGAAGACAATTTTTTCAGAGTCCTTTTGGAGTCTAGAACTGAGCAATGGAAGGGAAAAACCTGCACACTTAAGACATGTCCATATCCATTCTTTATAAATAAACTGGTGAGACATGTGAAACAGGAGCTCAAAGAAGCACATTTTCAACCAAAAGTCTCTCGTTTCTAACTGAGAGTCTAACCTTGATCTTTGTTGTCTCCCTCTTTTGGGGCTGAATTTGGGCAGTCATTGTGGTTAGCTTAAGCCAGTGGTTCTCAACCTTTTCTTCACCATGGATCCCCTTTAAATACCTTTTGTGGCCACGAACCATCAAGACTTAATTCAATATTTAAATCATAACATTTCTTCAAGCCTTTGTGGACCCCCTGTGACAACATCATGGACCCCTAGGGTCCACAGCCCACAGGCTGAGAACCACTGGCTTAAGTTATGTTTCACCAGGAACATTTGCATGTTAGACCAGAGGTCCCCAACCTTTTGGGCACCAGGGAGCGGTTCCATGGAGAGAGGACCGGAGGATGTGTAGTTTTGTGTGCTGCCTGCATCCCACGAATGGGGCTTTGCTTGTTTGTGTGAACCAGTTGCTGGCATGCTGCAGCCCAGTACTGGCCCACGGAGCAGGGGTTGGAGACCCCTGTGTTAGACTGTATAATCATCTTTTAAAGGTAATGAGCTACAAGCATTGTTGCCATTGAAGTTATATTCTATCCATGCTTGGGAACAAGCTGACCTCATCTATTCTGGGTCACGAAGGACAAGAACTTAATTTAGTACAATCTTTTCACATATCAATACTTCAGTAAACCAAGAAAACAAATCAATTTACCATAATAAAAGATATATGACATAATAAATGGTATTCATCCCTGGCACCTAGTATAACAAATATATGCCATATTTAGTCTATTACAAGACAGTGTTCTGAACCAGCCAAATGTGTAAAACAGCTGAAGAGTAGGTAGTAACAGAATAAAATACTTATTGCAAAAATTATATTTCACTTCAAATTCCACAGATGTCTTTCTTGCAAACCACTCTAATGAACTACATGTTAGGGCTGTAAGCTATTATCATCACTATTTCACTATTCTCAAAATCATGTTACGAGTTTCCATATGTTTATTATTATTATTATTATTAATAATAGTAGTAGTAGTAGTAAAGTTGGAAGGGATCTTGGAGGTCATCTAATCCAACCCCCTGTTCAGGCAGGAAACCCTACACCATTTCAGACAAATGGCTGTCCAGTCTCTTCTTAAAAACTTCCAATGTTGGAGCATTTACTGCTTCTGGAGGCAGGCTGTTCCACTGATTAATTGTTCTCACTGTCAGGAAGTTTCTCCTTATTTCTAGGTTGCTTCTCTCCTTGATTAGTTTCTACCCGTTGCTTCTTGTCCTGCCTTTAGGTGCTTTGGAAAATAGCTTGATTCCCTCTTCTTTATGGCAGCCCCTGAGATATTGGAATACTGTTATCATGTCCCCCTTGTCCTTCTCTTCGTTAAACTAGACATACCCAATTCTAGCAACCGTTCCTTATATGTTTTAGCCTCCAGTCCCCTAATCATCTTTGTTGCTCTTCTCTGTACTCTTTCTAGAGTCTCAACATCTTTTTTACATCGTGGTGACCAAAACTGGATGCAGTATTCCAAGTGTGGCCTTACCAAGGCATTGTAAAGTGGTATTAATACTTCACGTGATCTTGATTCTATCCCTCTGTTAATGCAGCCTAGCACTGTGTTGGCCTTTTTGGCAGCTGCAGCACACTGCTGGCTCATATTTAGATGATTGTCTACTAGGACTCCGAGGTCTCTCTCACAGTTACTACTATTGAGCATGGTGCCACTTATAATGTACTTGTGCATTTGGTTTTTCTTGCCTAAATGTAGAACCTTGTTTTTTTCACCATTGAATTTCATTTTGTTAGTTAGTGCCCAGTGTTCAAGTCTGTCCAGATCCTTCTGTATCTTAAGCCTGTCTTCTGGAGTGTTGGCTATTCCTGCCAGCTTGGTGTCATCTGCAAATTTGATGAGTTCCCCATCTATCCCTTCGTCCAAATCGTTGATGAAGATGTTGAAGAGCACTGGGCCAAGAACAGAGCCCTGGGGCACCCCACTACACACTTCCCTCCATATAGATGCAGTTCCATTGAGGACCACTCGCTGAGTACGGCCGGTCAGCCAGCTACGGATCCATCTGGTGGTGATTCTGTCTACCCCACATTTTTCTATCTTGATCAAGTAGTAGGTTGTGATCTACTTTATCAAATGCCTTACTGAAGTCCAAGTAAATTATGTCCACAGCATTCCTCTGATCCACTAATTTTGTCACTTGGTCAAAGAATGCAATAAGATTTGTCTGGCATGATCTATTTTTGACAAACCCATGTTGGCTTTTAGTAATGACTTTGTTTGCCTCTAGGTGTTCGTTGATTCGTTGTTTGATTATCTTTTCCAGGATCTTCCCAGGTATTGAGGTCAGGCTGATAGGTCTGTAATTTCCTGGATCCATTTTTTTTCCTTTTTTGAGGATGGGAACTATATCAGCTCTTTTCCAGTCCTCTGGTAGTTCCCCTGTGTTCCAGGATCTTTGAAAAATATAGTTCAGTGGTTCCGATATCACATCTGCCAGTTCCTTGAGAACCTTGGAGTGTAATCCATCTGGTCCTGGCGATTTGAACTCATCTAGGCTGGACAGGTGCTCACCATTTTCTTGCCTATCTTAACGTGTGTTTCTATTTTGTTTTTTATGGCACTATTTTTGATAGGTTGGTCTATTTTTTCCCTTTGTGTAAAGATAGATGCAAAAAACAAGTTAAATAGTTCTGCTTTCTCCCTGTTGCTTGTCACCTTCTTGCCACTTCCACCCACTAATGGACCAATCATTTCCTTCACTTTTTTCTTGTTTTTTACATGTTGAAAGAAGCTTTTTTTGTTATTTTTGACTTTGGTCGCAAGCCTTAGTTCATTTTGAGCCTTGGCTTTCTTCACTTCATCTTTGCAGGCTCGGGCTATTTGCTGATACTCTGACTTAGTTATGTTCCCCTCTTTCCACTTTCTATACTTGTCCTTTTTATCTTTCAATTTGTCAGAGAGTTCTTTATGCAGCCATGCTGGTTTCTTTTGAGAGCTGTTGTTTTTCCTCTTCGTTGGTATTGTGCTAGACTGTGCTTTTATTATCTCATTTTTCAAAATTTCCCAAGCTTCTTGAGTTGTTTTCCCCTTGAGGATTCTCATCCATGGAATCCTTCCCAAGCCCTCTCTAAGTTTATTGAAATTAGCTCTCTTGAAGTCCAAGACTCAATAACACAATAACATTCTTACCTGGATTATTGGGTAAAAGCTGATAGCATTTTATTGAAACTGAAGGCCAAAATGGATACTCACCATTACTGAGATGTGAAGGATCCGTAGCTCTTCTTCTGCTGATTCGCTCTGGGGTTCTTCTGTGGGCTCCAAACCAGGGGAGATGGGCGTGCCATCTTGATGGTGGATGTGGAAGAGCAAGGTGCCATTTTCTAGCCACTGCTGTCTCCAGCGCACCAACGGGATATCTTCTGTATTGCCTGAAATCTCTGTGGATAAGAGAGGACAATAAATGCAAATTAGCATAAAGATTCTCTCACTAACCCAACCCAGCACAGTTATTAGTCAGGGACAATGGAAAGTGTACTAGAACTTTAGAACATACCAGGATAGCTTATTTAAAAAACCAGAACAGTATTTGCCAGCTAATATTCTTGCATTGATACCATCAGAGTCCCCTTCTCTAACTTTACCACTTAAATTTGGCAAACAAAAGACCAAAAGCTAGGATAAGATATAGGGAAGCAAGAAAATATAGGTGCATTCAGATGAGTTTATACTCTTTCCTTTAACCCCCCCCCCAATACTCATAATCTCCAAAAAGTGAAAAGAAGGAACAAACTTTTCCTTGCATCTTCCAGTGATGCCATCTCATCACTACATCTAAACATGCAAATACTTTTTGATGTTTTAAATTTTATAAATTTAATTAATAAAATAATCTCTATGGTTCTTGGGAGATTGATTAAAGCAGGATTGTGATCCCTCTCTCAGAACAGTTATACAACCTTGATTTAAAGGAATGGATATAGCTGACTTCAGTTCAGTTCAAAGAGGAAATCAGGTCTTAATTTTAGTTGGCAACTCAATGGTACCATTCATTTAAATTCTGGTCAACGTAATATGTTTGCCAGAGATTACTTGTGTCATATCCAGTCTTGTATCCAGAAAAACATGTCAACTTTCAAGTTTCACTGTGAGAAGTACTTAACTTTAGAAGTTGTTGATATATAAACTCATGCTTATTTAAAAGATAAAATAATACAGCTGGAAGTCTAGTCCAACCCCCTGCTCACGCAGAGACCCTATACCATTTCAGACAAATGGTTGTCCTGTCTCTTTGAAAGCCTCCAGTGATGGCATATTCATAACTTTTGACAGCAAGCTATTCCATTGGTTGATTTTTCTCAGTGTTAGGAAATTTATCCTTAGTGCTAGGATACTTCTCTCCTTGATTAGTTTCCATCCATTGTTTCTTGTCTTGCCTTTTGGTCCTTTAGAAAATAGTTTGACCCCCTTGTCTTTGTAGTGCCCCTCAAATATTGGAATAGTGCTATTATGTCTCCCCTAGTCCTTCTTTTCATTAGACTAGGAATACCCAATTCCTGTAACCATTCTTCGTATGTTTTAGCCTCCAGTCCTCTAATCATTTTTGTTGTCTTCTCTGCACTTTTTTCAGAGTCTCAACAACTTTTTTGTATTGTGGTGACCAGAACTAGATGCAGTGTTCCAAGTGTGGTCTTATTAAGGCTTTATAAAGTGGTACTAGAACTTCATGTGATATGTACACATTCACTCGCTTCATGAATGTGCACATATTCACTCACTCATTTCAACTTGTCTGCTACTTTGTTAAACTTTTTCCTCTTCATGTCTTTGCCCATGAGCTGTTAGCAAAGGATCAGTTGTTTGCAGAAATGAGATGTCTCACTTCTGCGTTTGTGGTGTCCTGAGCTGAGAGTTAGAAAAATTAATTCAGTGATGAAGATTAGTTAATCTTTTTAAACTTTTCAACTACATTTGGCAAGTTGGTGCATGTCCATGTGCTGGTTCTTTCATCTCTTCCAGTTGTTTTAAAAGGTCTTCTTAACTTGATCCCTAAGTCCTTCCTTCTCATTTTGTATTGATCATAATTTAAGCTAATTGCTTATTGTTATTATTACTTGTCTAAGCCTCAGATCACTAATGAAGTCTTTTTTAAAAAACTGGAAGACCTATATGGACTTTCTGCAGCAAGAATAAAAGACAACTGATTATTTATGGATTTGAGGATTAGAAAGAGTTAAAGAGGGACAGTGAGGAGTAAGATGGCCATTATTTGATAGAACAAAGGGCAGAAGTCAAAATCCTGTTTCTTTTTTTCTTTTCTTTGTTATACTTTTATGGTATAGTAAAATTCATACGTATCTATAATCTATATCTATCAGATCTCTGCTAAGGAAGGACTCCTTACAACCTCTCTGAACTCTGAAATGTTATTGGAGTTGCAGTTTCAAAATGTTACCTTTCTTCTTCCCTGATGCAATAGCTCCCCAATCTTCTTTCCACACTGATTCTGCTGCCCTTATTATTATAGGATTCTGCTGCCCTTATTATTATAGAATTAAATAACAAATCTTTAGTACACCCATGATTTTTAAAAGAAAATGTGAACTCTGCATAGACACAACTAAGAAAGCCAGCATGTTTACATATGTTCTTGCCCAGGGGCACATTAAATTTTGTCTAAATACAGCTAGAGAAGCTGAAGAGCCAATTCATGGTGACACTAATTTAATAAATCAGCTATGTGTCCAGAATATTAACTTTTCTTATAAGGCTAACTCCAGGCTACAAATGTACGTGGAGTTACTGGATATTTAAAATAACTGTTTAAAGCCATTGGGTACGATCTTATCATCATAAAAAAATCCCCTTGGGTCCTATTATATAATCTTATCCTACTTTTTGTGTCAATTGCCTCTATGTAGACATAGTGTCATTTATTTCAGCATTTAATGTCTCAGAATAGCCACTAAATTTGATCTCATCATATCTCCAGCTTTGGCTACTTCTAGCAAAAATAAAGTCATTCTGAAGAATTAAATAAAAAAGGGGATGGGCAGAACTCCATAAGATAGGGGAGAGCCCTCAGTGCAAATGAACAATTCTACTGACACACAATGTGCTCAAAAAAAAATAACGGTGCTCCAAATGAAAAGGACATGAATGGAGTTCAATGCAAAAGCTACAGCAGGGTTTTCGTGAATTATTCTGCATTCTCTTCTCTTTGAGGATTGTCCCGTCAATATTATTTTTGCCCATTCCTCTCCATCATGTCTGCACAGATGATCATTACAGTTAGCATCTGTCACCATTATGATCTCATACCATTTGAGTGCTTGAGAAAGTCAACCTGCAATTGATGCTAAGGGCACTGGTCACATCTGATGCTACCATACGCTGTATACTGAAAGGTAACAAATGTTTTCCCTTACAGTTATTAACCCCTGGCTCCAGATGGCTGTTTTTTAATCTATTTGTTGGAAGTTAATGCCAGTGTTAATGACTTTTCATCTAAGGCCTTAATGGAAGTCACTTGGGAGAATCAGCCTTACCATCAATATATTTCAAACTTTGAACTTGAAAGCTGTACTTTCCAGTTTTTTCCCTCCCTGGATCTAAATATGCTACCCCATCATATAGATTCATGAGCTGTACCCTTAAAAAGACATCATTAACAAATGCAGTAATTTAGCATACCAAGGGCATATAGCCCTAGTCCTTTTTAAACATGATACAAGTAGGCAGTTCCTTTCCTTAATAAAGGTCATTCCTGCTGCAAAACTAACAAGGAGTGGATGCTGAAGGGCTTCTATATTTGCAGGCCTTAATGCAGGCCTTTACTAATACAGGCAGGCAACCCTACTGAGATAAAATAAGGTACCCACCACAATATAGCATGAATTCAGTTTGGGGGATCTGAGTCATGAACAAAATCTAGTGCAAAGAAACCTGGTACTGATCCCAGCATTGACAATATTCTTATGGAAAAAGGAGTGATTTCAACAAAGTAAAGCTTTACATGTAAGTAACATGAAATGTTGCTGAATTTCTAATGTTCATTAAACAATGATGGAACATTTAAAACAAAACTGTAAATATGAGAGAAAAGCAGGCAGAATTTTGAATTTGGATACTAAATTTGACTTGACTCCTCTTTTTAAAATTAAAATTTGGAATAGCTCATGTTCAAGTATTTAAATGACCCCCTTCTGTCCTGGCTTTGGGAAAAATCCATAAAAACATGGCTGTTTCATCAGCCATGACTGGACCACTGACTGTTATATTCCAATTGTTTATGTATTTTTGTATGGATTGTTGGGTTCCTATTGTTTGTTATTTCCTTTAATCTGTTTTGGGAAAAAAAAAGAATTGTATAGCACTCAAAGTCAATTTTTAAGTGCAGTGGTTTAAAGCAGGGGTCTCCAAACTTGACAACTTTAAGACTTGTGGGCTTCTACTCCTAGAATTCCCCAGCCAATATGGCTGGCTGAGGAATTCTGGAGTTGAAGTCCCCAAGTCTTAAAGTTACCAAGTTTGGAAACCCCTGTTTTAAAGGCTTGTAAAGTGAATAATATAAATACATGGTGGACAACAATTTGAGAATGCAAATTCTATCTTTTGTTTATGGTTGTTTAACACCAATCTGTTACATTCTAATTTGCTATGATAACCCAGTTCTTTTTTTTATTATTTTTTCCTTGTTAAAAATTGGAAATTATAATTCATTTATGTTGTTAAAAATAACTAATAATATCTAAGTAGTGATATTATTTTATTTAAATATTCATATAAATGAGGATGAAGGTTCATTCTCTGAGCTTGGGTTGGTTTCCAAGCATTTCATTACCAGGCTAGGTAACATCTTCAGCAGAGTTTAGGGGATGTCAGTGTTCTTCTGTTTTTAAGGGCTTCAGGTGTGGGTGTGTTAAGTGAGGGTCTGTAATGGGTCTTGTGATGGGTCAAGTATGAGTCATCAGTGAGTCTCGTGATGGGTCGATTACAGGTTAGGATCATTGGGAGGTGAACTGCTGGTGGGAAGGGGGTTGCATGGATTGGTGGAGGGTCAGTGCTGTCTCTGGTTGGCTGTGCAGTCGATTCACCTCCCAATAACCCTGACCTGTGTAACCTCCCCATCACAAGACTCGTTGATGACTCACACCTGACCATTACAAGACCCATCACAGACCCTCACTTGACACACCCACACCTGAAGCCCTTATAAAAAGAACACTGGCACTGACATCCCCTAAACTCTGCTGAAGATGTTACCTAGCCTTGTAATGAAATGATCAAAAACCAACCCACAAGCTTGGAGAATGAACCTTCACCCTTATCCTACACGGGATACAGATATTTGCCACTATCGCAAATCCATATAAATATCAATATAAATATCCATCTATAAAACAGTTATAGTTCATACAATGAAACCACCATGAGCTGA